TACATTGGCTCCTGGATCTCTAGGGAGGTGCTAATCTAGCCTCTGCCTTAGGCTATCCAGCAAAAGCCTCCCTGCAGGGCTTGGGCGGGGCGAGTCCCATGGGATCAACAGGGCGGGGCTAGCAGTAAATGGCCACTCTCAGAGGCCCCACTTCTCAGTGTCTCGGCAATGGCTGCAAGCCCCTCCGAGAGAAAGCTGCCCTCGAGTTCCAACAGATGCCAGACAGTCCCGCTTCTCCCATATGAGTCTTGGTCCCCAGAGACTCGCCCGGAACTGGAGCTCAGAGCCTGAGACTCCCTCCCGATTGAAAACGACAACCGTGTCCTCAGCCACCAGCCCGCTCCGTGTGCGCCTCTGTACCTTAGTATTTTACTTCCGCACCGCGCCTCCTCTAAGTCTTGGTATGCTTTTCTCTTTCCTTCTAGTTGTAGAATTTCCACTCAGCCAGCCTTCCTGTGGTTCTGGATGATGTCCGTTCCGTCTTTTAGTTGTATTTTTGAAGTGGTTGTTCGAGGCAGCAAACTCCGGTGTTTACCTATGCTGCCATCTTGGTTTCTCCCAAAACCTTAATTCTTGTCTTTTTCTGGGTAGTCAGTACACTGTTTTCTTAATTTTATTCATTTTGATCTAAAAAATTTCCCTATGCTTGCAACATCATTATGCCAGGTGGTATGACAGTTTTTATTTTTGTTTTTAAACTATCCATTCCAACTTGGCTGTGTAAGACAAACTGTTGCCTTCAACTAGCTGAAAATTTAGTAGAAGAGATACATTTACTAGTAGTAGAGAATAATAATGGCAAACTGACTATCATATTTCTTGTGCCTTGTCTGGCTTGACTATTTTTTGGTTTAACTGTTTTCTTTCTTTTTCCACCCGTGTTTTATGACTGCGTCTTGCAGGAGAGTCTTATAGATGCAAGTGAAGACAGCCAGCTAGAAGCTGCCATCAGAGCCTCCTTGCAAGAGACACATTTTGATTCATCACAGACAAAACAGGATAGCCGCTCAGATGAAGAGTCTGAATCTGAACTTTTTTCTGGCAGTGAGGAATTTATATCTGTTTGTGGCTCTGATGAAGAAGAGGAGATAGAGAATCTTGCCAAGTCCAGAAAGTCTCCCCATAAAGATTTGGGGCATAGAAAAGAGGAAAACAGAAGGCTGCTAACTGAGCCCCCACCCAGAACTGAGCCTGTAACAACAACAAACCACCAAGGATTGTCAGTCATGGATTCAGAAATATTGGAGATGTCACCTGAAAAATCAGATGGAATAGTGGAGGGCATAGATGTAAATGGTGAGTTATGTTCTGGACCTACTTTACTTGAAACTTGAATATTACTGAAGGAATGTTTATTTATTTGTTTTAATTAGTCTTCCATCTTAAACTCCTGTATATATATATATTTTTTAACCCCAGGACCAAAAGCACAGCTGATGTTGCGGTATCCAGATGGAAAAAGGGAACAAATCACTCTTCCAGAGCAAGCTAAATTGCTAGTAAGTATATCTAATTTAAGTGCTGGCTTAAAGGAGAGAAACTAATTAATTGGTGTAATTGGCTTGTTCTTTGAAATAAGTGTTAGGTATTCAGTCTGACCTCTAAGGAAATTTAACAGGTTAATCTGAATTCTAATTAGTATATTTCCTTCCTGAATTATGTTAGACAAGTCACATAGGGTCTGTTCCAGACAAGGCTGTTCTATTACATGCCTGCATTTCATTTCCAACTGGAAATTATTACCTGGAAAAGAGGAGTGAAGACTATAATGGGGCTTCTGGCTTTCTTGTAGATAGACCTACAAAATAGTTAAGAACCAAGGCAGTTGTTTTTTGTGTTTCTATCCTCAGGCCTGTTTAGTTTCCCCGTTGTAATTCTCTGCTTCATACCATTCTTCTCTCTGTATACTGGTGGCTTTTGTTTACCTCTGAGTGCATACATGGTCCATGTCATAGTACATGGTCCACGTCATAGTAATGCTGAGGGGCTTTTCCTCTAAAGTTCACAGCTCATGGACCTTTCCTGTTGTTTTTAACTCCTGGAAAAGAGAATGAGTCTGACAAGCTTTTTTAGTCCCTTCCATCTTTTTATCAGATACCTGTGAATGAATCCCCTTTGGGTCAGGTATTTTTACCTGGCTGTTTTCTGTGGTGAGAGAGAGAGTGATTCTTGAGGACTTTGTGCCTGGAATGCAAGTCGGATCTGACTGCTGGTGCTGATACCCAGACTGTTTTCCAGGTCTCATATTTGGAAGGGAATGTGAGGTGAGACAGTGGATGGAACTTTTTTTGAGAAGTTTGGTTGTGAAGCTTGAGAGGGGTGGGGTATGCAGTAATTAGAGGGGGAGGGGGATGATTGAAGGAGAGACTGAGCATGTTTAAAGTCTGATGGGAAGCATCTGTAGAGGGAGATGTAGACGATACCTATAAAAGCAGGGATGTTCGGTAGTGGCATGGTTTCTGAGAAGGCAAGAAGAGATTTAGTACACAGGTGGCAAGATTGGCTATAGGTAGAATGAAAGACATATCTTTGCCGATAAAAAGATGGAAGGGAAAACTAATCAAATGTTTAAAACTGAGGACAATAATTTTATAAATAGATAGTGGGTTTGTTATTGAGAAAATAGTAATAACCCTGTATATTTCAGTATCACTTAATGTACGTTTATTATCTCCCCATTCAAAGTGTTATATTGGCCCTTCCACAAGAGTAAGCTTTGGTTATCTGAAAGAATAACTTAAATTTCATATTTTATCTAATGTGATAAAACTTGATGTTAGCCTGACCAGTGTGGCTCAGTGGTTGAGCATCAACTCATGAACCAGGAGGTCAGGGTTCGATTCCCGGTCAGGGCACATGCCTGAGTTGTGGGCTTGATTCCCAAGGGGACATGTAGGAGGCAGCCAATCAATGTTGATGTTTCCCTCTTGTCGATGTTTCTGTGTTTCTCTTTCTCCTCTCCCTTCCTCTCTCTCTCAAATCAATAAAACATACTTTTTTAAAAAGAATGTTATATTGCCTGGCTGGTGTGGCTCAGTGGTTGAGTGTTGACCCAAACACCAAGAGGTCGCCAGTTCAATTCCTGGTCAGGGCACATGCCTAGGTTTTGGGCTTGATCCCAGGTCGGAGGCCTGTAGGAGGCAGCCAATCGATGTTTTTCTCTCATCAATGTTTCTATCTCCGTTTCCCTGTCTCTCTAAAACCAATGAAAACATATATAAAAATTATCTTTTTAAAATGAATGATATAGTATATGTAATTCTTTAATATACTCTATTTCCATCTAACAATCCTGTCTTTCTTTTGTTTTTCATAGGCTTTGGTGAAGCATGTCCAGTCTAAAGGATATCCAAATGAACGTTTTGAACTTCTCACCAACTTCCCTCGAAGGAAACTCTCTCATCTGGACTATGACATTACATTACAAGAGGCAGGCCTTTGTCCTCAAGAGACTGTCTTTGTACAGGAAAGAAATTAACATCATGGCCCGACCTCTCTCAGCTTACCCCTTTTTTCCCTTTTCCTGTGAGATACCATGTCACTGAGTATGCATTTTGGTTCATAGGACCATAGAGCCAAAGTTGGGCAAGCAAGTCACCTGCCTTCTCTTTTATTCCTTGCTCTCTCCTGTAATAAGTCTTTTTCACTTCCTACCCCCTTTTTTTTTCCCTCTCCTATCCTATTTTTGTCTTTTTCCTACTTTTCTTTCTTTCTTACCTAATCAGGTGACCAAATGGAAGTATAAGGATAACACCTCCTAGTACTGGCAGCAGGAAATGAGTGTTCCAATAAGTGGTCTCTTGCATGGCACTTTTTCGGGATCAAATGATAATGTTACTACTCCTCAGACTCCTTTGGTAAAGGAATGGCTAGATTCAGAATAAGAACAACCTCCCTTTTTTGTAAGCCCTGTTTTTAGTAGGAAAAAGCAATTCTCTAACATGTTTTGTTTTGTTGTTCATATAACAAATATCACAACAGAATATCCAGGCTTTTATTTACATGGAAAAAACATCCCTTGTAATAATTATTCATCTCATTTAAAAATCATTTCGAAGGATTCCCACCCTCCCAAGCTAGAATTATTTCCATGAGATGTGTTATTGGCAAAATGAGTGTTAAATGTTGGGTGAGTAGCATGGGTTGGCATTCAATACCCTAGCCTGAGACAACTTTCTTCGTTACTACTCTATAAACTATATTGATCCTGCTAGTCCCAGAGTGGACCTTTAGTGAGCATATTGTGGTGACTGGGATAGGAAGGTGCTTGCTGTTTTTTGCCAGTACGGCATATTAGTTCCTTCGGCCCTTCCATTGTCTGGGTCCACAAGTGATCTATAGGAAGGCAGCTATTCAATAATCATGCAAAACAGTGGCTTGTAGTTTAACCACTATGGTTATTGATTGTCCTATGTGCTTTAGGCATACTTATGTATATCCTGGGGGAAAAAGAAAAAGATGCAGCTGAGAGTAGCTAACCATATTCCTTTGGTTAGAAATAATGATTCATTTATTACCCCTGGTTGAACAGTCTCTAAAGGCTCTGGTGACTAAATGAGCTTAAATCCTCATGCTTTTTCTTGCAAAAGGTCTCAAAATTGAAAGCCTGAGGGGAAAACCTTTAAATTAAATCCATAAGACAACATTTAGTAAGGGAGGTGGGGAAGATTGCCAGTAGTCTTCAGGTCTTGTGGGGTTTTTTTCTGCCTACAAAAGCCACGTTCAAATTGTAGTTGGTGAAAGCTTTTTTCAGTATTGTTTAGAAGATGCCATCTTGAATCTCCATAACACTACTCAACTTATCAGCTTCATTATATGCTTAGTTCTTATTTTGAGCGTTAGTCTTCTGAAGGGGTAGTGGTGATTCTGGTGGCAAAATCAGAACTTTAACTTGCTATAAAATGGACCTTATTTAATCAGTTGGGGATTTAGATTGATCCTTCTACTTGAGGAACATAAATTGCTATTGCTCAGAGACCTTTTAAGTTCCCATCTATTTTAAGATCACTCTCTTGGTAACTAGGGGATTTTAAAAAGACATGCTTATGTGTTGCTAGTACTTAATTAGAGAATATGATTTCTAATGGTTGAATTTTGAGGGACCCACCCTAAAGAATGAGTAATGTTTCTCCTCAAGGAAATCATGGAAAATTCTGTTTATTCTTCAGTGAGTCCTTTTGGATTAATGTTCTTACATTTTTTCTAAGTGTGTGTAAGTGCTTATGTATAAGTATATAATTGTATAAATATTTATAAATATATTTATATAATTACAGTTTCATTTATATCTTGAGTCAAAGTTCTCTCTTTAGATTGGTGACTGAGTAATACCACTTTGGTGTTTTTTTATAGACTCTTGAGGCTAACTAGCAGCTTCTGAATTATTGAGGAAATAATGGTTTTCATGTTAATTCCTCAATTGTATCTGAACTTGGATAATAGACTTACTATCTAAGGAATAGAGCTGTATACTATCAAAGATGCATTAGAGGGTAAAAAGACTGTTGGTAGTAGACAAGGTCGAGAATCTAAAAATTCAGGGAGGTACAGGGTAAGAAGTGAGGGTACGCCTAGTTTGGGTGCTATGATGGCACCTATCTCCACTCAGCAAAGTCACAGCTAAAGCCCAAATCTGTCAAAAATGTGAAGTCACGAACTTTCCCTGTAGGACTCTATTTTATTCTTTTACCTGTTAGCTTCTCTTTATAAAACATACCTAGGGAACCTGAGACAACAAGCTCATTAATGATAGGATTTAGTTCTTTTTGATAAGCTCAGTCCTAGCATATCCATGCATGAGAAACCAAAGTGACTATTTCAACTGTGAAATGACCAAGTATATATATATAAAGGGATTTAAGTAAGCATATTAAGAGATGGGGCAAGAGATATTGACTCAGAGACAGCTGGGATGTTTAGAGTATAAGATCTAAACGTTTTTATTTTACTTTGAGGCAGGAGTATAATTATTCTGGGCTTGATATAGAGGCCAATGGGACGGAGGGATTATAGATTGTACATGGGAAGAGTGAATAAGGAATATCGCTTTACTCAAGAACTTAATCCACTTAGGGAGTATACTTCCTATAGTTTGTCTTATTTTCTCTGCAAATTCCTTTGCTTTTTGGAGGAGAAGTTTTATTGAATAGATTAAATGAGGTTAGTAAGATAATTAAAAATTAGTTTAAAATAGTCTTTCCTTGTAGGTATTGGAAACAGCTTGAAAGAGATAAAAGGTACGGAGGAAAAGAACAAGGTAGATTTTGAGAGTAAGTGATGTAACAAATACAGGGAGATAAAATGA